TGGACCAAATCCCTGTCCACTGTGTTTCAGATCACACCACTGTTTCTGGTATTCTTCGTGGGATCCGTTCAACTCGTCATTTATTTATATCCCAAACAGTCTTCAGGACTCTTCCACGAGAGGATACAAGTAATGAGTGAAACAATGTTGTCGTTAAGGGTGTGGATCTGTTGGATATATATACGTACGATATGAATGTCCCCATAATGTTGTGATACTATACTTTTTGGTCATTTATATATTACTAGCTTTTAACTTAGATTTTTTTTGTGAATGAATTTTATTTAAAATTATTGATAAGTATTAGTATTTATGGGGACTTTCATTCAGTATATACACACATTAATTAAACAGTGTATATATACTGTATATTCATTCAGTACATACACCCACTATGTGTTAATCAATTGTATTTTAAATGTTTGAAAAATATTTCAAAATTTTTTGATCTAAAAATTAATTGCGAACTTATACTCGATTTTTAGGCATTATTTTGTCCGACACTGACGTCGTTCATATCGGATACCGGTGCTGAGGGTTCACTAAACAGCGGATACGTTGCCGACGACCCGCCCCCTAAGTACGAGCCCCCGCCCTCCTACTCGACGGCCACCGCCCGCCAGTTGGTCCACCAGATTAGGGGTCGACTCACACCCAGCGGTTCCATACGTATGAACTTCTTGAGCCGTACCAACCCTTTGACCATCAACTCGGATACCGTTCCCTCTAATCACCAAAACTCGGCCAACGATTCAAAAGGTGTCGAAATAAAACACGAGACGACATAACCGGCTGATTGTCATGTTATATACCTTTCCATCGCCTCCCATACCCCTCGAGAGTGCTATTTATATGACATTAGAAAAAACTTTTCACAACTTTTTGTGTGTTTTTTGATAACAATTTTCATGATTTGATGTGAAGTTTATGTCGCAATTCATATATCATTAAAAATAATGAGTGATAATTAATAAAAAATCTTCTTGCTAATATTTTTGTTTGTTTTTTGACAATGATCTAGCAACTTAGTGTCGACTAAATTTTATTTATTTGATTTGATTTATAATTAGATTTTGTAGACTCGTATTGATTTAATTGTTTTTAATATAATTTATTTAAATATATATATGATTTGTAATTGTATAAATTAGTTGTATTTTATATTACCAGTGTAAATTATAATTTTAATGTATTTTTAGTTTAATTTAGTGCCAAATCTATGAATGATTTTTGCAATAAATATGATTCAATTTTAATAAATTGATGCTGATGATTTATTTCCTTAATTTATAAGTATTACCATTCAATTAATAATATAATATTTAATTATTTTAATGCCAATTCTGTGGCAAATATTTAATATACATTTATTTAGTTAGACCAATTTAGCTATCTATTGCATAAATTGATTTACAGTGAAGTTTAAAATTACCCAAACTATTAACTATTTAGATTATTTGATATTTTCAATTAATAAATTGTACTAGGACTTTTTATAAATATAATAGTAAATGTACAACCTTAATTAATTTTTAATGAAATATTATTAATTATATTACTCAATAAACATAAAACAATTTTCATTAAAATGTTTATATTTTAGGTGTATTTACTGAAATATTGCACTAATTATAATAATAATTGTCAATAATGTAATAATATTTTATTTGTATACAGGGCTGTTTGGGTTCATATAACTAGTTAACATAATGTCAGTATATATTATAATTGCATTTTTTCAATTAATAAATTGTACTAGGACTTTTTATAAATATAATAGTAAATGTACAACCTTAATTAATTTTTAATGAAATATTATTAATTATATTACTCAATAAACATAAAACAATTTTCATTAAAATTTAATTGTCAATAATGTAATAATATTTTATTTGTATACAGGGCTGTTTGGGTTCATATAACTAGTTAACATAATGTCAGTATATATTATAATTGCATTTTATCGATATTTATTAAATGTCGCACCGCCCTTAATTATTTATACAGAGATACCAGGATTATAAGGTATTAAGTGTTATCAGAGTATAACTACTGTGTTGTATGTATTGAAAACTACAAAAGCTTTTATACCGATAAATATTAATAAAATATTTAGATTTTAAAAATGAAAATATCATTGAAAACTATGTATACTATGGTGTCGTATATGATATGTTTCACGGGATGTATGTATCAAACGTATAAAATAAGTGAACTATACTTCGCATACGAGACACCTACTAATCTCCGGTTCCTATCACCAAGCGATTCATCAACACATACTGTATTTACAATCTGTTTGCCAAAAGTTGATCAAATAGTACCTGATAAATTAAAAATCATAAGAAACAACATTGCCAAATCAAGTAATTTTGATATATTACAGTAATACTGTGTTCTCCCCATACATACACTGTAATCACTATGCAATGCCTTTTCTTATGTAAGCCTTAAGTGTCATATTTCTCCCCTATTTTATGTTACTCTCAAATACTTTTACTATTTGTATTTCTATTCACTTGAGTGGACCGGTGGGTGGTATATAAACCACAGCCCAGTTCGCACTAGGAAGCAGTCTGTCCACAGCCTTAAGTTTGTTAGTTTTGTCTCCGGCACTGGCTGTATGCCAGTGTCCGGTCCTATTTATGTAACATTCATAATCATTAAACTGTTTGCATTTAATTGTGTATCATTCATAACTGTTAACTGAACACCGATACCGTTCCTGAAAGCCATTACCGTTTGGTAAAGCCTCAACCCCTCAAAAGGTATTAAACCCTTTCCCAAGGGTTAGGTAAGAGCCCAGTGGGCACAAGTATAACAGCACTATTGTTAGGTTACAGTACAGTAAGTATTATGAAACCTACGCTTATATTGTAATATTAAATTAATATATAGTAAATTTCAATACAATTCAGGTCTCAAAATTGAAACCATTGTGAAAGTGCTGCCATTTATATCAAAAATTTGCACTAATATTGAGAACTGAATTGTGTTGAAATGACTTTAATTTAAAGTTAGTTTTGTGACTTATATAATTTACTTTCAATTTAGATTCAGATAAAGCATCAAGTTTACTTGATGAATTCAACAAAATTCCGATTGGCGCTCAATTTGACTCATTTATACCACCAGAGAAATTCTTTAAAACTCACCTTGTTGGTGATAGGTATAGTACACTTTATTTAACAAACAAATTTTATCAAGATTCTGTCAGTAATTCCCATTGGTGTATAACGATAAATCCACATGGCCATAATTTTAGCGATGAAAATTTGTATTTACTACAAATATTCATTCCCATTGGGGGTACTATAAATAAAAATATGCATGCTCATGCATCCCAAAAAATACTCGTTTATATTCATTCAAAATATCGTCGTCTTAGCAGCATACAATTGAACTTGTTAAATTCCAAATTATTCGAAGCCAGAAAAAATGATCATTTTATTATTGGATATAAGCAATCGATTACAAAATACAACCTTGGTCAAACACGGAATGCTATGCATTGCATTGATGATGGCATGGATGTTCTTGAATGCCAAGAACGATGTAGAGAGAAATTACATGCCGCCAAAAATAATTTGACATATTNCATTGATGATGGCATGGATGTTCTTGAATGCCAAGAACGATGTAGAGAGAAATTACATGCCGCCAAAAATAATTTGACATATTTGAGTTATATGTTATTTGATAAAGGTAATAAAAGATTTTCCAAATACGACCAAGATAACCTGCTTTTCGCCCAAAATGAAAATTTCGAACATTTCAGCGAATGTAACCCGAAATGCATGAACCGGATCGACTGTATTCAATATAATCACCCTATGCACCAGACATATGTTCAAAAAGATTTATGCGATTGCTATGGAATTCATATTAAATTTCCATTCGAGTCTACAGTCGAATACGAAATAACACTCAAAATGTCTTTCAAGGAGTACTTGAGTCTAGCGGCGAGTGTTATAAGCCTATGGTTTGGGTTCTCTATCATTATGTTCACCAAAAGTTTAAGAGAAATACTCATAAAAATTGAATTTAAGAAATATGCTCAACAATTTGTACAACAATTTGTACATCAATTGGTGAACCCAATTATCATTAAATTCAATAATTGTAATGTCAATTGTATTGTCGTATTAAAAGTGCGAGATTATATTAGCAATAGGAATCGTATTATTCCAATAAATACAACTTAGTAAATTATACATATTAAACCGTATGTGTATATATATATATATATACACCAATGGACAAGCGAAACTGGTGTCGGTTTTTTGCATATATCTCTTGAACGCGGGTTTGGATTTCAGATATGACTTCAGATTCAGAAACTAGAATAAATGAACAATTTTTTGGTATATAGGATTATATTTTATTTTCTCAGATGTTACTCTATTATAGTCAGGCTTTCAAATGATATAAAACTCTCAGAATTATTTTATTTAAAAGTTACAGTTTTTTAGTCCTAAAAAAGATGCAGTTTTTATCTATTGATACGTTAAAAATAATGTCAGTATATATTATAATTGCATTTTATCGATATTTATTTTTAATTATTTATTCTGGCACCGCCCTTAATTATTTACACAGAAAGACCAGGATTAACAGTTATTAAGTGTTTTTATATTGAGTATAACTCTTGTGTTGTATGTGTTGTAAACTATACAAAAGCATTTATGCATAGCATCTATTCATATAGTAAAATACCTGATATATTTAAATTTTAAAAATGAAAATATCATTGAAAACTATGTATACTATGGTGTCGTATTTAATATGTTTCACGGGATGTATGTATCAAACGTATAAAATAAGTGAACTATACTTCGCATACGAGACGACTACTAATTTCCGGTTCCTATCACATCGCGATTCATCAACTCATACTGTATTTACGATATGCTTGCCAAAACTTGAACAAATACTGCCTGCGAAATTAAAAATTTTGAAAAACAACATTGCCAAATCAAGTAATTTTAATATATATAACAATTTTCAATACAAATCAGGTCTCAAAATTTGAAATGATTGTGATAGCGTTGCAATTTATATCAAAAATAGGCAATAATATAGATTACTGAATTGTGTAGAAATTTCTGTAATTTAAAGTTTGTCTTTTGACCCACATAATTTATTTGCAATTTATATTCAGATAAAACATCAAGTTTATTTGACGAATTCAACAAATTTCCGATTGGCGCTCAATTTGACTCATTTATACCACCAGAGAAATTCTTTAAAGCTTACATTGTTGGTGATAGAGGTAGTCAACTTAGGTTAACAAACAAATTTTATCAAGATTCTGTCAGTGATTCCCACCGGTGTATAACGATAAATCCACATGGCCATAATTTCAGTGATGAAAATTTGGATTCACTAGAAATATACATTCCCATTGGCGGTATCATAAATAAAAATAAACATGCTGATACATATCAAAAAATAACCGTTTATACTCATTCAAAATATAGTCGGCTTAGCAGCATGGAACTGAACTTGTTAAATTATAAATCATTCGAAGCCAGAAAGAATTATCGATTTCTATTTGGATATAAGCAATCTATTATGAAATACAACCTTGGACAAACACTTAATGCTAAGCATTGCATTGATGATGGCATGGATGCGCTTGAATGCCGGGAACGATGTCGAGAGATACTACACGCCGCCAAAAATAATTTGACCTATTTGAGCTATATGTTATTTGATAAAGATAATAAAAGATTTTCGAAATACGACCAAGATAACATTCGTTTTGCGGAAGATAAAAATGCCGAACATTTCAGCGAATGTAACCCGAAATGCATAAACCGGATCGACTGTATTCAATATCATTACACGATGTATGAGTCACATGGTCGATACAATTATGGCGATAACTATCTAATTTATATTGGGTTTCCATTCGAGTCTACAGTCGAATACGAAATAACACTCAAAATGTCATTCGAGGAGTACTTGAGTCTAGCGGCAAGTGTTATAAGTCTATGGTTTGGGTTCTCTATCATTATGTTCGCGAAAAGTCTAAGAGAAATACTCATAAAATTTGAATTTAAGAAATATGCTCAACAATTGGTCAACCCAATTATCATTAAATGCAATAATTGCAATAATTGCCATGTTAATTGTAATTTGGTTTTAAGAGTGAGAAATTATATTCGCAATAGGAATCGTATTATTCCAATAAATACAAATTGGCAAATTATACATTAGTAAACAGTTAAAAAGCTACAATGAATGTATAATTGCAAACGTATTATTAGTATTAACAGTATTGTTGTACAATAAAATTAAACGAAATATTCACTCAAACCTATTAAATTAAGTGGTGGTTTAATAAACCAATATTTATATTTTTAAATTAATATGATATGACTTTTATCAAATAAGCGTATAATACCTGTAATGTAATGTATTTCCGAATTAAAACCTAATATATATAATCTGTTGTTAAATATCAAGTTATGGTTTCATTTATGCATCGTTTGGACCATTATTTGCATTACACTTATCAAAGGCTTTCACTCGACGGGCAAAGTGTTGTTCGTGTCGGCGGTCATACCTATCGTACTCTACAGTCTCGTTGTCCTCCGGTTTGTCGAGCAATGGGGGGACCCATAGGCCGGTATATTTGTCATATACTTCTTGGACTACTGTATCGGATCTCTTTGGTGGTTAACACTGCTGTACCTATTGCTCCAGATATCGGTGCTCATCATCCGAGGTATGAACACATAATCAACTCATTATACAAACAATTATTTTTAGTCTAATTTGCGAACAAAGTCTCCAAACATTAAAAAAAAATGTTTTTCACATATTATTTGAATAATGAATATTTGATACCTGGCTAAGTAGGTCGTCCCGAGGGCACTGAAAATCTAGTCTCGATGCTGGCCAGGGATGAGAGCACCCGGAGTTGGCTACTGCCAATACTGACCTTCCAGTGGAACCTGATTATGCCGATCGCCACAATGGTTTGCATATACATACATACCAATCCCCCCACCAATCACTTTACATGCCGTTCCCTTCAGATACTGTCGATCGCGTTCAACCGTTCCCATAGCGCCAGTGGCCTGACGTGGACCCAAGCGGTCACTTTCTACCCGTATTGGCCCGATTGGACCAAATCCCTGTCCACTGTGTTTCAGATCACACCACTGTTTCTGGTATTCTTCGTGGGATCCGTTCAACTCGT